CGCTGGGATAGGAACGGGTTGGAACACCGCTGGGCTCGGGGGCCGGTGGTCGGCCTGGCGCAGCAGTTCTGCGGATGATGGAGAAGCAGTCTGGTCGTCTCTCTCATCGGTCTCCGCCGGACGTGACGTCTCCATCTGCTTGCTTCCGTTGGCGGCGGTGTTGAGCACGAAGTCGTGCATGGTATCATCGTGGTGTGGGCTAGCCATGATCGTGGAGTGCTGGTGAAACTTTGGTTTTCTGCTCGGAGTAACGGGGAAGTTTCTGTTCCCACAGATGGCGCCACTGATTTGACCTGATCAGAAGGGGATCACGGGCTGGCCACATTGCGTTGATCTGCTACCTGTTCACCGGTGATGAGGAGGAGAAGGGGGGTATACCTGCAAGACACTTCGATGCCAAAGTAAGAAGTTGGGCAGAGTGAGAGCAGAGTACAGAAAGTGGGTAAGAAGTGAATTACCTGACCCTCTTGTGGAAGAGGGTATTTATAGAGAGACCCCAGCGCTGGGCCAACGGTCATTTGAGGTGGGCTGGATGACCAGGACCAACCCTAATGACTGCTAGGGCTTACGTGGCGTAGTGAAGACCAGAACATGGTCTTCGCCATAGTCCAATTGTCTCGTGATCTCCGGAAAGTAGGTTTGACATGCTCTTTCGGAGGTGGGCAGTTGGGAGATGATGTGTCCCCGCGGAGGGGAGCACGTGGAGAGCGTGCGCATGGCACGTTGTTCTCCCCGCGGAGGGGAGCCCGGGAGATTCCCCGGGGGTCTTGTTCGATGGCATGGAAATACCGCCCGTGGAGGGCGGTGCTTGGTCGTGCAGGCGATTCTCTTGCCCGACGTGGTTGGGGAGGTTCTCCTTCACGGGGAGATCATTCTAGCATGTCGGGGATCTTGTGCTCGACGCGGTACCCGGGCCGGGCAAGGCCTGGTGGAACATTATTGGGCTGGGCCAGCATAGTTCAGCCCGGGGCCCAGTCCAGAACAAGACTTTTGCTCAAGCAACCTAGCAAGAGACATATGCTTAATCAACCTTGAAAGAGACTTCACTACTTAAGCATGCATGCAAGATATTTCATCTACTTTAAACAAATAATTTAGTAGAAAAGATAATAACTATACTTTGATACACAATTATAAATATAGTAGTTATGCAACAACCACAAAGGTTCCTAACTTTTTAAGATTTATAAGATATACAAAGATAATAAATCTTAAGATCTTATGCAATAAGAGTTATAAACAATAGCTCAAACTTATGCTCATGATGTTTTAATGTTGTGCTATGTTGTTGTTGTTAACCTTTTTTCAAATCTTTAACTTTCTTTTATAGAGGCAGTGAAAGAGTCGTTGAAAGGTTGAACATAAGAGTTTTATTCCTGAATAAGCATGCCAAGAGAGATGTTGGAGGATGTATATGGTTAGAAACATTGTATAATGAATAATTCACATCATCTTTCGAAGTACTAGGTATCTATCAAAAGGTAAAACAACCTTAAGAGGTCACATCACCATTCATTGAGCTTTGCAAAACAAAACCCTAGTTGACTCTCTCTAGAAATTAGGCGCTTTGATAAGACTGATGCGCTTTTGGCACAAAGTATGGATCAGAGACACCTTTAACCTTCAGAGTCTGAGCTGTCACTAAAGACTGGAACACCATGATCAGAGTCTGAATCTTCAGAGACAAAATTGTCTCATTCATAATCTGATCTTTTATAGTCATCAAATTCTGATTCATTAGAATCTAAGTCACTTTACTTCTCCACAAATGTATTTAATTGGATTAATATAGAGTTGAATTCTAAGCTTATGATCTTGCACACTTGAACATAGGTTAGTATACCCAGTTATTTTTTAAGTACTTTGCTATCATAAAAACCTATGGAATATGAATAATTTTGTTCCAACAAAATAAAACTAGAAAAGAAACTCATGTATAAGATGTTCATGATGTAGATGCGTAAAACTTGTTTTCCCCAAATGCTTGAGTTTTATTTTAACCAACCATTTTGATGATTAGTGTTAGACATGTAAGTGACCTTATAATTAACACTTAGATACATGTCAAAAATCTCCTCCCTCAAATCAGTTTGAGTAGCTTTAAGACTTTTGTTATGCATAGAGTAGTGAAAAATAAAAAAGGTAACTTGTGTGCGTTGCTTAAGTGTTATGATATAATAAAAGAAAAGTAAGTTATCAACCATGTGGTTTATATCAGTTTACTGTCATTAACACTCATATGATGTTTATCAACATAACCTTTTAGAAATAAGGTGCAAAGAATTTTATAGTTTCATTTGAATTTGTTAACAACCTTTCAAACATCACGCAGTTGAAAAGCTTCACATGGAAATATATTTGTTAATACAACACAACTATCTCACATGTATGTTGTGGTTATTTATAATATCATGTATGCTATATCTAAATTTAAGCTTGATAACTTTCTTGCTAAACAATTGCTACATGAATGCCACGGAAACTCTGACACACACTTTCACTGTATAAGGAATTGTTGCATGTGTAGACACCCTTCTTAAGTATATTTAATTCTTTTACAAAGTGTAAGTGAATTTGTTATGACTGGTCCCGATTTAAGTGTTTAATATCTAAATTTGTTTGTAATTTGTCAGTTTCATATAATTTGTCTGTCTATAATGCACTTGATTTTTTCTCCACCTGTCAATGGTTTGCTTCTCATTTTCAATGAAATTCTGGTCTTGAGCTGTATCAAAAACTACCACTTCCAAGTTCTATCTCATTGTATGAGTTTAATCCTTTTAAGCTATATCAAAACTGTGAATATATCTTATAGAGTTATGGATGACAAATATGAAGGTATAGAAGATCATCCATAAAACGGTGAAAGATGAAGAAGAGATTTGAAGTATTTGTACTTTAGTTACACTTTACAAGCTTCACATTGTTTTAATTGCAAATATTTAGTGTTTATATAATCTAATATAACATTCACATATGAAATGGATATTAGGTTATTGATCCAACGAAATGGGTTCAGACGCATAATTTTATTTGAAGGGGACCAACAAAACCCTAAGGATAGGGATGTACATGAGTCGGTTTGGATTGAATTTAGGCAAAACCATGACCCAACCCATATAAGATAACACTTGTTTGAGTGAAATAAAACAACCATCCATAACATCATTGTGTCAGATTGGATAAAATCCAAAATTTGTGGGTTGGATTGAGCTGGATAGTGGGTTTATCCAATTTTTTAAATTTTTTTCTTTCTTCTTTATATAATTATAAATGTTTGTTTCACATTTTTCCTAATAAATAATTTAACCTATTACCATTATTTTTTAAAACATCAAATGTCAAAATGTGCAATAAAATTCATCGTAAACATATTTACAAAAACTAAAGTTACATTACAGTAATACCTATAATTTATAAAATACCTACAACTTACAAGAATTACCATCAAAATAATCAAAGTGCAACATCCTAAATAAGTTAAAATCATTACTTATAAAATAAAAAATGTTCAAAAGATTGTAATTGAAACAAATCAAATTAAAGACATCAAAATCATTACCCATCAAATTGTAAAAAATAGCAAAAAAAAAAACAAGCATTCAATAACTCATTGATTTATTGAGTTGGATGTAGATTTATCCATGACTCAATTATTTTAAATAATTTTTTATTTTTGAAAATCGTGTTCATCTAATGATCCGACCAAACCCATTTTTTTATGTTGGTTTGAGTGAGTATTATTAAGTTTGTCGGGTTTACCCAACTCATATACATCCCTAAGAACATCTTTAGTGAAAATATCTTAATTGGGTAAACTAAGATATTTTTTGTGGTTCCAAAGTGATTTGTAGGATTTAAAAAATTTATAGTTGATTTGAGTTGTTTTTACTTTAATGATAGTTGCTTATAAAAAACTAAAACTTGATCATATATTTTATATTTTTTAATTGTAATTATTTTTTATTGAAGTTACCATTAATTTAATTATTTTAAATAAAATACATAAAATATTCATTAAATGTCATGTCATAGCCATTATAAGACTTTAATAATATTATATGTTTCAAAATAAATATCATACATTAGCTATATAATTGCCGGAAACTAAAATATAGTGAATTCAATGCCATGTCATAGCCATTTCAATGCAAATTCTTTTATAATCATCGTTAACTATAAAAAATTTAACTATTAAAAACCTGCATTAAAGATACTCTAATGAAAGATGTAAAATTGAGGATAAAAAACTAATTTTTAAATAAAAAACTAAAAGTTAAAAAAGTTGAGTAACTTTTAAAATAAAAAACTAATAATTAAAAAAACATTAAACAATAAAAAACTTTTAAACTTAAATTTATTAAATGTAAAATAAATAACACAAATACTATCAACTATCTTGAACATTTTAATATATATATATATATATATATATATATATATATATATATATATATATATATATATATATATATATATATATATATATATATATATATATATATATATATATATATATATATATATATATATATATATAAGATTTAATTAAAATACACTGTCAACTAATTATAAATATTAGATATAAAAAGAAGTTTGACTTTTATTTTAGAAAAAAATGATGATACTCCGAAAATGTAAAAATTTTTGTAGTGATTCTTTTATATCGGCAATACATATTACTAATTAATTTTTTTTTTATACTTTTCCAACCATGCTTTTTACCGTGTAATTAATTTTTGTTTTCTTATACTTTTCCAACCATAATGGTGAGGATCAAAGAAAAAGAATAGAGGAAGAAGTTCATCAAAGAAAAAGAATAGAGGAAGAAGTTGTTGAGTTTTCACTATAACAGAGTTGAACACGCAAACTCCACGTCTAACATGACACCCAGTCAAGTCTCTCATGTAACTGCACCGGCAAAATCCAATTGAATCCCAAACCATCATCATCATACACAATAGAAAACCCCAATCTCCTCCTCCTAATCGCCGGGAATCATGGCGACTCCGTCGCCTGATTCAATCTTCCTCGAAGACTTCGGCCAGACAGTCGACCTCACCCGCCGCATCCGCGAGGTTCTACTCAATTACCCCGAGGGAACAACTGTCCTTAAGGAACTCATTCAGAACGCCGATGACGCCGGTGCCACCACCGTTTCACTCTGTCTCGACCTCCGCTCCCACGGCCGCGATTCTCTTCTCTCGGATTCACTATCGCAGTGGCAAGGACCCGCTCTTTTAGCCTACAACAATGCTGTTTTCTCTGAAGAGGATTTCGTTAGTATCTCGAAAATAGGCGGGAGTAGTAAGCACGGACAGGCTTCTAAAACCGGTCGCTTCGGGTATTTTACCAATTTCCTGTTCTTCAGTGTGAATTCCATTCATTAGGTTGACCAGGTTGATGTTGTGTGCTTGTTTAACTGGTTCTAATTCCAATGTTGTTGAGTTAGGTGCCGTTGAGAATATAAGCTAAGCTAGGTACTTGTTGTCATTGTTAATGGCGTTGCATTACAAGTCATATATGGTTGCTGTTGAAAGTGTTATTGTATTGTTATTGTTATTGTGCTTGCGGTAGTTTGTTTTATGTTTTTTATGCTGAAGGCTTGCCCTAGTTTGTTTTGTTTATTTTCTTCATTATAAAGTGTGGGAACGAAAGCTGGTCTCTCTGCAATGCAATGCCAAAGTTATGATAATGAGAGTGACCGGGAGTGTTGGAGTGTCCAAATAATATTTAATTCATAAAATTAATGAGAGACGTGGGTGAGTTTTAGTGTGTCAATAGATTGTGTCTCATAGATATGTGTTAAGTTTTAAATAGCGGTTTCAGTAGGAATTGTGGCGGCGTTGTGATTCTTGATTTTTAGGAGAATCATGGTTAAATACTGCTGATGCAGCCTTAAAAGCCATCTAATTATGGCGACATTAAAATCCATCTTGTCGTGACCTAGATTGCCGTTCCGAACCTTTATTTAAACCCTAATTGGATTTTTGAATTTGAATTTCATTGATTTTGGCACCAGTTTAAGTAATTGATAATGATCGCTGTCTTCTTTTTTCTTCACATAAATATTTCCCGTATTCATTATTGCTCTGTGTTTTCCAGGGTTGGCTTCAACTCAGTTTACCATTTAACAGATCTTCCTTCTTTTGTGAGTGGAAAATACGTGGTATTATTTGATCCTCAGGGTGTTTATCTTCCAAGAGTTTCTGCAGCGAATCCAGGGAAGCGGATTGACTTCACCAGTTCATCTGCCCTCTCCTTTTACAAGGATCAGTTTTTCCCCTTTTGTGCGTTTGGTTGTGATATGCAGAGTCCTTTTGCTGGAACTTTGTTCCGTTTTCCTTTGAGGAATGTAGATCAGGCAGCCAAAAGTAAGCTTTCAAGGCAAGCATATTCACCAGAAGACATCACCTCCATGTTTGCTCAGCTCTTTGAAGAAGGAATTTTGACACTTCTGTTTCTAAAGAGTGTGCTATGCATTGAAATGTATGTGTGGGATGCTGGCAAACCTGAGCCAAAGAAAATTCATTCATATTCTGTTAGTTCAGTAACTAATGATACGGTTTGGCATCGGCAGGCACTCCTCAGATTGTCCAAGTGTTCGAATACCCCATCTGAACTGGATGCATTCCCATTGGAATTTGTAAGTGAGACAGTAAGTGGAGGAGAAACAGAGAGACAGACAGAGAGATTTTATGTGGTACAAACAATGGCCTCAGCATCCAGTAGGATTGGCTCTTTTGCTACAACTGCATCAAAAGAACATGACATTCACTTAATGCCATGGGCATCAGTTGCAGCATGCATTTCTGATGATTCACCAAATGTAATTAATTTGCAATATCTTATACTTATGTCTTTTACTTTTGGTTCTGCACCCATGACTCATGAGCATGTATTTAGTTAACTTTTATCTTTTATCATAGTTATGACTGTGAGATGGTGAAAGTAGTATTTTGCTTCATTTTTGTTCATCCAGCCTAGCAATTAATTTGACTGCAGCTTTTGATTGAAAGTTAGGCATACAACAGTTCGAGTTTTATTTTCTTTTGGCCTTGTTTATAAGGGTTTGAAGAAATTTTATTGCTCTGGTTAGAGTCTTGGAGTGATCAGGTCTGGGGGGCGGGGGGACATTAGAATCTTAAGAATAAACAAACGCCTTCATGACTGTTACTGTTTTGAATTATTTCTTTTGGCACTTGTGAGGTTTTAATAAAGGTATTTAAGTTAGAGATGTATCTTATATTTGTTAGGCCATTGCAAGGATTTGAGCTCTTTACGGATATGGTATACCTTTTTCTTGTTTTTGAACCTTCACTCTTCTTTTGCCCCCTCGTAGGATGCGGTATCTTTTCTTCCTTAGTATGTCTCTAATTGTAAATTTGTTCTTTATTCATCCATCCAATAGAAAAGGTCTGAAAATTTTAATTTTGTGTAGAGTTTCACAATGAGAACTGCCGACCCTTGTTTTTGAAGGACAATTCTACTGTATATTAAAATTTTCACATTCTTTTGTGAAGGTCTTCTTTGTTGCTATATCTCCATGGTTCATCCCTCATATTGCCATGTATGGTTTTTACAGAACAAAGTTCTTAGGACTGGTCAGGCATTCTGTTTTCTTCCACTACCCGTTAGAACTGGACTCAGTGTACAAGTCAATGGTTTCTTTGAGGTATCATCAAATCGTCGTGGCATTTGGTATGGGGATGACATGGACAGAAGCGGAAAAGTTCGTTCTATCTGGAACAGGCTTCTTCTAGAAGACGTTGTGGTTCCTGCTTTTGTACATATGCTGCATTGTGTAAAGGAATTGTTAGGGCCAACAGACTTATACTATTCTTTATGGCCTATTGGTTCCTTTGAAGAGCCATGGAGCATTTTGGTTTACCAAATATACAAAAGTGTTTGTAATGCTCCAGTTATCTATTCAGAATTGAATGGAGGAAGATGGGTATCACCGAGCGAAGCATTTCTTCATGATGAAAAGTTCACCAAAAGCAAGGACCTTGGTTTGGCTCTCATGCAATTGGGAATGCCAGTTGTGCATTTGCCTGATTCATTATTTGACATGCTTTTAAAAAATAGTACCAGCAAGGTGGTAACTCCTGGTACAGTACGTGAATTTCTTAGGGAATGTGAAACATCTAATTATTTGAGCAGATCATACAAACTGCTATTATTGGAATATTGCCTTGAGGACCTGGTTGATGATGATGTTGGTAAAGAGGCTTACAATCTGCCCTTGCTTCCTTTAGCAAATGGCAGTTTTGCATCATTTTTGGAAGCATCAAAAGGAAATTCATACTTCATTTGTGATGAATTAGAGTACAAGCTGCTGCAGCCTGTTTCGGACAGAGTGATTGATCGCAGCGTTCCTTCCAACATATTGAGTAGACTCTCTGGTGTTGCAATGTCTTCAAATACCAACCTTGCTCTTTTCAGTATTCAATATTTTGTTCAGTTATTCCCTGCATTTATGCCAGCTGACTGGAAATATAAAAGTAAAGTGTTCTGGGATCCAGACTTGTGTCAAAAGCCAACATTATCATGGTTTTTGCTATTCTGGCAATTTCTAGGAAAGCATAATGAAACATTGCAACTATTTAGTGATTGGCCAATTTTACCATCCACGTCTGGATTTCTTTTAAGACCTTCCAGACAATTGAAAATGATAAATGGAAGCAATCTCTCAAATGCAGTACAGGATATCCTTGTGAAAATTGGATGCAATATATTGAAGTCAAGTTATGTAGTTGAACATCCGGATTTATTCAATTATGTATCTGATGGAAGTGCATCAGGTGTCCTACAATCGATTTTTAATGTATTTTCAAGTGCTGAAATTATGCAAATTTCACTTGACAGTCTGATAGCTGAAGAACGAAATGAACTCCGCAAATTTCTTCTTGACCCTAAATGGTATGTTGGACACTCTATGGATGAATTCAGCTCAAGGTTTTGCAGGAAATTGCCTATATATCAAGTCTATGGCAGAGAGTCTGTTCAAGATGGCCAATTCTCTGACTTAGAAAATCCTCGGAAGTACTTACCACCATTGGATGTGCCTGAGTTTATTCTGGTGGACATTGATTTCATCGTCAGATCCTCAAGTATTGAAGAGGAGGATATTCTGTCTAGGTATTATGGAGTTGAAAGAATGGGGAAAGCAGAGTTTTACAAGGAGCATGTTTTTCATAGAGTTGGGGAGTTGCAAGCCGAGGTTCGTGATAGCATAATGTTGTCCGTTCTACAAAATTTGCCACTTTTGTCTCTTGAGGATGTATCTATCAGGGACCTGTTGAGAAATTTGAAATTTATTCCAACACTCACTGGGGCTCTTAAGTGTCCTTCAGTTTTATATGATCCTAGTAATGAGGAACTGTATGCGTTACTAGAAGACTCAGATAGTTTCCCTTGTGGTGCTTTCCGAGAATATGATATCCTTAATATTCTGCGTGGCCTGGGCCTTAGAACTTCAGTGTCTCCAGAAACTGTTCTAGAAAGTGCTCGATGTATCGCGCATCTGATGCATGAGGATCAACAAAAGGCATATTCAAAAGGGAAAGTACTTTTCTCTTACCTAGAAGTTAATGCATTGAAATGGCTTCCTGATCAAGTTGATGGTAATAAAGGAGGAGTTAACTGGATGTTATCACGAGCAGCAACTGCTTTTAGATCTCGCAACTCAAAATCTGATCTTGAAAAATTCTGGAATGACCTTCGATTGATTTCCTGGTGCCCAGTTTTAGTCTCCCCTCCGCTTCACTCGTTACCATGGCAGGTTGTTTCATCAATGGTTGCTCCTCCAAAACATGTAAGGCCACCGAATGATTTATGGTTAGTCTCAGCTAGCATGCGGATACTGGATGGTGAATGCTCTTCCACAGCTTTATTGTATAGTCTGGGATGGATGTCACCGCCAGGAGGAGGTGTAATTGCTGCCCAATTGCTAGAGCTTGGAAAAAATAATGAGATTGTGACTGATCAAGTTCTTAGGCAGGAATTAGCCCTGGCAATGCCAAGGATATACTCGATACTGACAGGAATGATGGATTCAGATGAGATTGAGATTGTTAAGGTTGTTCTTGAAGGCTGTCGATGGATTTGGGTGGGAGACGGATTTACAACCTCTGATGAGGTTGTCCTTGATGGTCCTCTTCATTTGGCTCCATATATACGAGTTATACCAATTGACTTGGCGGTTTTCAAAAAATTGTTTCTTGAACTTGGCATTCGGGAATTCTTGCAACCTGCTGACTATGCTAATATTCTCCATAGGATGGCAAATAGAAAAGGCTCATCTCCTCTGGACACACAGGAGATTAGGGCTGTCACACTAATAGTGCATCAGCTAGCTGAAGCTTACCATCATGAACAAAAAGTTCAGCTCTATCTTCCAGATGTGTCAGGTAGACTATTTCTTGCGGGTGACTTGGTTTATAACGATGCCCCCTGGTTGCTTGGCTCCGAAGATCTTGATGGCTCATTTGGAAATGCATCAACTGTGCGTTGGAATGCAAAAAGCACAGTTCAAAAATTTGTGCATGGAAACATTTCTAATGATGTGGCAGAGAAGTTGGGCGTCTGTTCTCTTCGCAGGATGTTGCTGGCTGAGAGTGCAGATTCAATGAATTTTGGTCTATCTGGAGCTGCTGAGGCTTTTGGACAGCATGAGGCATTGACAACGAGGCTTAAACATATTCTTGAAATGTATGCTGATGGACCTGGGACTCTGTTTGAGCTAGTACAAAATGCAGAAGATGCTGGAGCTTCTGAAGTAATATTTCTTTTGGATAAATCTCAGTATGGGACTTCTTCCATTCTTTCTCCTGAAATGGCTGATTGGCAAGGTCCTGCTTTGTACTGCTTTAATGACTCAGTTTTTAGTCCACAAGATCTTTATGCAATTTCTCGTATTGGTCAAGAAAGTAAACTTGAGAAGGCTTTTGCAATAGGAAGATTTGGTCTGGGATTTAATTGTGTCTATCACTTTACAGACATCCCTATGTTTGTTTCTGGTGAAAATATAGTAATGTTTGACCCTCATGCCAGTAATTTGCCTGGAATATCTCCTTCCCACCCTGGTTTACGAATTAAGTTTGTAGGGCGGCAGATTTTGGAGCAATTTCCAGATCAATTTTCTTCAATGTTGCATTTTGGCTGTGACTTGCAACAGTCCTTTCCTGGTACTCTATTCCGATTCCCTCTTAGAACTGCAAGTGTTGCCTCCCGGAGTCAAATTAAAAAGGAAGTTTATACACCTGAAGATGTCAGATCTCTATTTGCTGCTTTTTCAGCAGCTGTTTCCGAAACATTACTTTTCTTGCATAATGTGAAATCTATCTCTATTTTTGTGAAGGAAGGAACAGGAGATGAAATGCACCTACTGCACCGTATACGCAGAACCTGTATTGGTGAGGCTGAAATTGAATCTACTGAAGCCAAGGACGCGTTCAACTTTTTCAAGGAAAATAGACGTGTTGGAATGAATAGAGTCCAGTTTCTGAAGAAACTAAGCCAATCCATTGGCCGAGATTTGCCTTATAAATGCCAAACAATCCTGATTACAGAGCAAGGGATATCTGGTCACCATTTGCACAAATGGATGATCACAGAATGTTTAGGCGGTGGGAATGTTCGTAAGGGCACATCTGAGGCATCCAATAGCAATTGTTACAATTTTGTTCCTTGGGCATGTGTTGCTGCACATTTGAATTCTGTTAAGCTTGGTGGGGACCTACTTGATAGTTCAGAGGTGGAGGGTGATTGTGTAGTTTCTCCTGATCTTTTTCAAATTGCTAGTTTGCCTACACATCAACTGGAAAATTTTGAAGGTCGTGCATTCTGTTTTTTACCTTTACCGATCAATACTAGTCTTCCTGCTCATGTAAATGCATACTTTGAATTATCATCAAATCGCAGGGATATCTGGTTTGGTTCTGATATGACAGGGGATGGAAGAAAGCGGTCAGATTGGAATATATACCTCCTTGAAAATGTTGTTGCTCCTGCCTATGGTCGTTTGCTTGAGAAGGTAGCACTGGAAATTGGCCCTTGCAATTTATTCTTCTCATTATGGCCGACAACATTAAGCTTAGAACCTTGGGCATCAGTAGTACGGAAACTATATCAATTTGTTGCTGAATTTGATCTCCGTTTATTATACACCGAAGCTAGAGGAGGTCAGTGGATTTCAACCAAATATGCTATATTTCCCGATTTTACTTTCCCCAAAGCAGCTGAACTTATAAAAGCGTTGTCTGGTGCTTCTCTACCTGTCATTTCACTTCCACAGTCACTTTTAGAAAAGTTTATGGAAATATGCCCATCGTTGTATTTTCTGAAACCTAAGCTATTAAGGACTTTGTTAATCAAAAGGAAACGTGAATTTAAGGACAGGGATGCAATGATTTTGACGCTTGAATATTGCTTATATGACTTGCAAGAATCTATGCAGTTTGATGCACTCTTTGGCCTGCCGTTGTTGCCACTCGCAGATGGTTCCTTTACATTAATTGATAAGAAGGGGGTTGGAGAAAGAGTTTACATTGCACGTGGTGATGAATATGGCCTTCTCAAAGATTCTCTTCCTCATCAACTTGTAATTAATGCTATTCCAGAAGAAGTTCATAAAAAACTTTGTTACATTGCCCAAACAGATAGCACAAATATTTCTTTCTTGTCATGCCATTTGCTTGAGAAACTTCTAGTGAAATTACTTCCTGTAGAGTGGCAACATGCTTCACAAGTAAGTTGGACTCCTGGTATTCATGGCCAACCAAGTTTAGAATGGTTGCAACTGCTATGGAATTATCTGAAAGCATATTGTGAGGACCTTTTAATTTTTTCTAAGTGGCCTATATTGCCTGTTGGCAATGATTGCTTGATGCAGTTAACACCAAATTCAAATGTGATAAAAAATGATGGTTGGAGTGAGAAAATATCTTCTTTATTGTTGAAGGTTGGATGTTTATTCTTGAGGCAGCACCTGCAAGTAGAGCACCCTGAATTGGAATGCTTTGTCCAATCACCTACAGCAAGAGGTGTATTAAATGTTTTTCTGGCTATTGCTGGGGAGCCACAGAAGATTGAAGGGATTTTTACACATGTATCTGAAGGAGAGCTGCATGAACTTCGGAGCTATATCCTCCAGTCAAAATGGTTTTCTGAAGAGCAAATTGATAGCACACATATTGAAATCATCAAACATCTTCCTATATTTGAGTCATACCAAAACAGAAAACTTGTAAATTTGGTTAATCCTATCAAATGGCTTGGTCCTACTGGTGTTCGCGAAGTTCTTTTAAGGGATAGCTTTATAAGAATTGAATCAGAAATGGAAGGGGTCATCATGAGAAGGTATTTAGGGATAAAAGAACCAACAAAAATGGAATTCTTCAAAGATCACATATTCAATCATATGTCAGAGTTCCTTTTGAACCAGGAATTTGTGACATCCATTCTGAATGATGTTCAGGATTTGATCAAAGAGGATATCTCTCTCAAGTCTTCACTTTCTGCTGTACCATTTGTTCTGGCAGCCAATGGATCTTGGCAACAACCATCTAGGTAACATTACAGTTTTTCTTCCTCTTCTTTTGCCAACATAGTATCTTAAATAAGATGTCTTTCTTTATTATATAACATTTTTCTATGATATTGCTGCTAAATACTATCAGTGCCAAGAAGAAAGCAATACAACATGTTTGCAATGCTGTACTAGAAATAACATCATTAATCGCTGTGGGACCAAAGCTATAAATATTTTCAACATTTATCAAGCTAAATGTTGTACTGGGAATAGCATCATTAATAGCATGTTTGCCATAAAACATGCTATGGTTTCTTATATTTTTAACGTTTCCTCAAATTTTTAAATGCTTTGACTGATCTGGTTATTTTAAGGCATATAAATGACTTGAATATTCTATTATGTTATAGATTTTTTGAAAAAAAAAAAGGTTGGAGACATCTTACAAATCTGCTGGGTTTGTTTCTTGATCTTCCATGAGAAGACTGTTATGGCAGAGTTTAATCAACCATTTTAGGAATATTTTCTGCTGTCACTCATCTGTTGTGGATACAAATTTCAGTACACATTTATGTGATCTATATTTCCATAACACATAAGTTTCTTTTTCCTAGCAGATGTCTGTTAGAAATAGAACTACAGAGTGTTTCACCTTCTAAGTAGTTTTTGGTATATAGTATTATAGTTAACATTAGTGTTGAAAATTGTAGCTACTCCCTCCGTTCCTTTTGAATTGCCTTTTTTTGACTTTTTGTACATATCAAGAAAGCTAATAATTTTTACTACTTTTCATGTAATGATTGTCTTTTTACCTATATAATATTCTTAATTATTTATTAATTCATTTAATTTTTCTCTCTTAAAGAAATAATTAAGGGTAATTTTGACAAAACATCAATTAAGTGTTACCTTGAATTTTGAAAAGGACACTTAAAAAGAAACAAAAATTTTACTCAAAAGTGACACTTAAAAAGGAACGGAGGGAGTATTATATTATGTAGAAAAAACATTTCAATATATTTCAAAGTGCAATTTACAATACTAGGTAATCTGCTTACATAGACATAAATAAACCTAATGAGCTTATTTAATGGCCCTTATATTAATAAACTAAAACAACTATAAATGTTATTATTTACAGTCTAATATTTACATCCCCCTCAAGCTGGTGAATGAATATCAATCACTCCAAGCTTGCAAGTTGGTTGAATCGTTCTGATGGTAAATCCTTTGTTAACAAATCTACCAACTGATGCCCATAAGGTATGTAGGCGGTAGTGGTAGTTATCAATCCACTATCCAGCTTTTCTTATGAAATGCCGGTCAATCTCAATGTGTTTTGTCCTGTCATGCTGAAAATGATTATGTGCAATATTGATGACCGATTTATTGTCACAACAACTTCTTAGGGCCTTCACGCTGTATCTTCTAGCACTTGTTTCATCCACAATAACTCACAAATTTCCAATGCCATAGCTCTGAATTTTGTTTCTGCGCTTAATCGAGCAACTACACTTTACTTCTTACTCCTCCAAACAACAAGGTTTCCATACAAAAAGGTACAATACCCGAAGTAGATCGTCTATCAATCACTGAACCTGCATAATTAACATCTATGTAAGCCTCCATAGTTAGACTTCCATTTTTTAAAACAAGAGTCATCTCCCTGGAGTGGCTTCGAGATATTGTAGATTACGATCTACAACCTGCAAGTGTCTCACACTCGGGTCATGCGTGAATTGACTCACCACACTGATTGCATATGCCAAATCCAGCCTAGTGTGTGCCAAATAAATCAACTTTCCCACTAACCTCTAATACTGACCCTTGTCATCTTTGATACTTCTCCTCATAGCTTATTTTATGATTGTGTTCAAGTTTTTCTAGTTTCCTCTTAACGGATCCTCTAAGATTATAAATTGATTCTAGGAAATAACTTAAGATTTTCTGATATAATATGAAATATATGATAAAATGAAATTATGTTTAACCTGCAACCTTAATTTGACTGGAAATAATCACACTAACAACAATATATCTTTGCACTCATGTTAGAGTTTGACCAAACCAAAACAGGTAATGCATCAGTTGCTTGATAAAAATGTGCTGCAGTTAGATATCATGTTATCTGTAAATTATTCAAAGTAATTTGTGAAATGCGTGAACATTGATTTTCTGGTGCATGATATCATCTATTGATATTTATCCTTAAAGAGTTAAGCTTCTTGATTAAGTAATTACTTGCTTCAAAACTGACGTTTGGATTACTGAATATTAATGCAGGCTTTATGATCCTCGGGTTCCTGAGCTTAAAAAGATGCTGCATACAGATGCTTTTTTTCCCTCTGAAAAATTTTTAGATCCAGAAATTTTGGATACTTTAGTTAGCCTTGGACTTAGGACCAGTATGGGATTTTCTGGTTTGCTTGATTGTGCTAGATCAGTTAGCTTGCTGCACGATTCTGGGGACACTGAAGCCTTCAAGAATGGTAGAGAGTTATTGGGGTTTTTAGATACATTGTCGCGTAAACTCTCAAATAAAGGAGAAAGTAAGAATGGTGATGAGTGGATTGACATGGCTGTGGGAAGCAGCAACATAATGGATGATGCTGTTCTATGTGATGGCTCTTGTGAAAATGAGAGCTCCACAAATGATATCAATTCATTTATTAGCAGCTCTATTCTTGACATGCCAGAAGAAGAATTTTGGTCTGAATTGAAGCTAATCTCTTGGTGTCCAGTTATTTCTGATCCACCTGTTAGGGGACTTCCTTGGTTACAATCCAGTAACCAAGTAGCATCCCCTACAATTGTGAGGCCTAAATCACAGATGTGGATGGTATCTTCATCAATGCTCATATTAGATGGCGAATGTGATGAGATATATCTACAAACAAAACTTGGGTGGATGGATTGCCCAAATGTAAGTGTTTTATCAAAACAAATAATTGAGCTATCTAAGTCCTATACACAGCTGAAGACACATTCATTGCTGGATTCTGATTTTGATGCTCACTTGCAAAAGGAAATACCCTGCCTTTATTCAAAATTGCAAGAATATATTAATAATGATGATTTCATTGAACTGAAAGCAAGGTTAGATGGTGTTTCTTGGATCTGGATTGGTGATGATTTTGTATCCCCAAATGCACTTGCATTTGATTCACCAGTAAAATTTACTCCTTACTTATATGTGGTTCCATCTGAACTGTCAGAGTATAAAGATTTGTTGATAAAGTTAGGAGTCAAATTGAGTTTTGGTATTTCAGACTATCTTCATGTGCTACAGAAGTTGCAGAATGATGTGCATGGAGTTCCTCTTTCAAAAGATCAGTTAAATTTTGTCCGCTGTGTTCTTGAAGCTATACAAGAATGTTGCCCGGAGAAGTCACATTTTGATCCTTTTGGCAGTCCCTTGTTAATTCCTGATGCTTTTGGAGTGCTTATGTCTTCAGAAGATCTTGTATACAACGATGCACCTTGGCTGGAAAACAATTCTCTTGTTGGGAGACATTTTGTGCATCCATGCATCAGCAATGATTTGGCAGAAAGGCTGGGAGTACAGTCAGTTCGTTGCCTCTCTTTAGTCAGTGAAGATATGACTAAAAATCTGCCGTGCATGGACTACAATAAAATAAATGAACTTTTGGCTCTGTATGGAAACAGTGAATTTTTGTTGTTTGACCTTCTTGAGTTGGCAGATTGCTGCAAAGCCAAGAAGTTACACCTAGTTTATGATAAGAGGGAACATTCTCGCCAGTCTTTGCTTCAGCACAATTTAGGTGAGATATTTTTTTAAAATTTTGTTCTACTTTTTGGAGTATATCACATTCTTCTAGGTGTCTAGGGTTGTCCTAGATTTTTTAACCCAAGTGGTTCCCCAGGGTTTTGGAAAATGGATGTATCCGTGCTTGGTTGGATTGGTGGGCTCACCATGCTAACCATCCTACTCAAGTTGAAACTTGTGGTTGAGCTATATGATTTGAGAAAAGGTGAAAGATGCAGAGGCAGAATCAGACCAATGTAACGAGGGGCCAAAGTAGAAAGAACACTATACTTGCTTAGTGAGCTTAGCTGCTTAAACCATAACCAGCTATGTATGTGACCATAAAAGACTTAACCTATCTAGTGGGTATGCCTATGAGGGGTTCTAAGTGTATTCGTTTCCTTTCTCATTCAGCGGTTAGGTTGTTGTCTTGTGACTTGGTGGCCACAGGTTCTACTTATTGAAGCAGCTTTCCCTTGTTGCCATGTACCTTCTCCCTCATGCACATTGCTGTCCTTTCTCATGCATAATTGTTCGAAACATCATTGTATCTGTTCACAGCCTTTCGTGCATAATTGTTCCAAACACCGTTGCTTTTGCTTATGTGCTGTTTATTTGTAGTGAAACGACCATATTGTGTTTAAGTTTTATTTTTTTATTTTTTTTATTTTTTCTAAATTGCTGTTAACATGGCATGCTTTATTCATACAGGTGAATTCCAAGGGCCTGCTCTTGTAGCAATTTTTGAAGGTGCTTGCTTGAGTCTAGAGGAATTTAGTAGTCTCCAGCTCCTTCCTCCATGGAGATTACGTGGCAACACTGTTAATTATGGTTTGGGATTGGTTTGTTGCTATTCAGTATGCGACCTTCTCTCAGTTGTATCTGGTGGTTACTTTTATATGTTTGATCCTCGTGGTTTGGTACTTGCTGGAGCTTCAACTAATGCCCCATCAGCAAAGATGTTTTCTTTGATAGGTATAGTGCTATCATCTATATTAATGTAAAATAATTTCTTTATTTTTTTTCCTTCTCTGTTGGGTTGATGATTTTTTACTGCACTGCTGACTTATATCACTGTACAATATGCACTTTAAGTCGAAACCTATTTTACAATGCCATATGGTTGGAGTTGTTGGCTCTAAGAATAGTAGGCATGGATGTTTTCAGCCTTTGTACTGAAAATTTTGAACTAGTAGTACAGTTGTAAAACAACTAGTACAATATTTTCCTAATAATACTTGTTAAGAAATGTGGTTGAGCTTAACTCAACTCTACGAAACCAACTTGTAGGGTGAGGATTGTCCCCACTTATAAAGACATATTCAGGTTATATATTGTCCAATGTGAGACTCTTAACATACCCCTTTACGCCCGGGACTATGGTGGGTGGCCCGATAGCGGAAACCTGATAGCAGGTGGCCCACCGGATCTTAAACGAGGCTCTTGATACCATGTTAAGAAATGTGGTTGAGCTTAACTCAACCCTACAAATCCGGCTTTTAGGGTGAGGATTGTCTCCACTTATAAAGACATGTTCGAGCCATATATTGTCCGATGTGGGACTCTTAACAATATTCAAAAGAAAGAGGGAAACAATCTTAACTATAATCATTCACTAAATTTTTTTTCTTTCCACATACCTTCTCTTCAAATTTATCAAGGTACACAATTTGTACTTTGTTGTTTTCTCTGAAACTTATAGAAGATAAATACTCAATAATTCCTTTTGGGCTCAAGTTATTTTCAGTTTTGGAATAATTAATCATTCAGTTGATTAATGATATATAAAGACTGGTTAGTTTGCAACCGTATATTGACATATTTAGTCATTTAAGTTGTTTACTGTTCTTAAACTGGAAAAACTTCAGTTTTAGAATAATTAATCACTCAATTGGTTATCGATATATAACAAGTGGTTACTGAGCAATCCTTTATTAACATAATTAGTCATTCAAGTTGTTAGTTATTCTTAAAACGGAAATACATTTTCAAGAAATTCATAAATATATTTGTAGTTTTATTCTTAGATGTCTTTATTGATAATCAGTTAATGATCATTTCAAAGATATGGTCTTTGATGTGTTACAAAATTGCAAGGCCTTGCAAGTATTTTCTTTTTACTTGCATGTATATTCGTTGTGTGTTGCTGTTTCTTGCTTGTCATCTTATATTTTAGTGTTTTTTTCTCACTACTATTTTTGTTTTAATGAAGTAAAAGAACATTATTATTCATTTATTTTCTTTTTAAAATCTGAAAATATATAGCATCAATTTTGATTTTCACTTTTCTATGCAATAGTAGAACTAATTTGTTTATTTGAGATTTTCAGGTACTGATCTGAAACAACGATTTCATGATCAGTTTAGTCCAATGCTTATCGATCAGAATGACCTATGGTCATTATCTGATTCTACTATTATTCGGATGCCTCTATCCTCCGATTGCTTGAAGGTTGGATCTGACTTGGGGGCCAACCGAGTAAAACATATTACTGACATATTCATGGAGCATGGATCTAGAGCACTCTTATTTCTGAAGTCAGTATTGGAGGTAATTTTATAACTTTTGTTGTAAATTGATACAGAATGAAAGAAAAGCATGATATTTAGCAGATCAGATTAGAGTCCAAAGTTTCTTTTTTAATCACTAGATCAAACCCTTAAAATTTAAATAAACATCCATATAAAAATATATCAAATTATTTGATTAATTAATAATAGATCAAACCCTTAGAATAAACCAATACAAAAATAGATCAAACCCTCAGAATAATAAATAATAAAATTATATAGTATTGACCCGTGCGTTGCATGGGTAGGCGTCTAGTTACTGATTCATTTTGGAATGTTCCTTATCCTCTATAATTTACTCACTCATTTTTCTATTAAATATAAAAATCATAGAAAACACTTGTACACGCACTTTGTCTTGTTTGACATTGTCACTCTACTGCTTCATGAGAAAATTCTTGTTTGAAATGCTTTCATAAATCTGTCCTGAACTAGAGTAAAAATCTTTCCTTCCATACAGGTATCAATATCAACATGGGAGGAAGGACAATCACATCCATGCCAGAATTTTTCAATTAGCATTGATCCATCCTCTTCTATCATGAGGAATCCATTTTCAGAAAAGAAATGGAGGAAGTTCCAATTATCAAGACTATTTAGCAGTTCTAATGCTGCAATTAAGATGCATGTAATAGACGTGAATTTATGTTCAGAAGGAACTACATTCATTGATCGATGGCTTCTTGCACTCACCTTGGGTTCTGGGCAAACAAGAAATATGGCACTAGATAGGTATGTTCTTTTATATAAAATGTAGTGGATAATGTGTCTACTACGATGCACAAATTGCATGGATATGAATAATCCATGTTGATATCTTGCAACTAATTGATGGCTGTTTTTGCCTTTTGTTAACTTGAAAACCTCACTTATTGATGGATCATTTTTGTGAAGCATGAAGTTCTTTGTTGAACTAAAAGATAAAATAATCACGATAAAGAAACCTAGAAACTGAGAAATTTATGAATGTGTCTTATTTTCCTTAATTTGGCTTATTTCTTGGAAAATATTTTCGTTTCCGTAGTTTTGTACTTAATTAAGACTTTCATTTTCCTTTATTCCTTTTTAAGAGACGTGTTGTCTTCTTTATTGTATGCTTTGTTAAACAGCATTTTTTTCTTTAACTTTTGAAGTCGATTTTGAGTTAACATGATTGAAGTTTCATATTTACTTTTCAGACGATATCTTGCTTACAACTTGACTCCTGTTGCCGGAATAGCAGCACTTATATCAAGAAATGGCCATCATACGAATATATACTCAACTAGCTCAATTATGACTCCTCTTCCTTTGTCTGGTCATATAAACTTGCCTGTGACTGTCTTTGGTTGTTTCCTTGTATGTCACAACAAAGGCCGCTATCTTTTTAAATACCAAGACAAGGGTGCTTCAGCTGAAGGAAACTTTGATGCTGGAAATCAGTTAATTGAATCATGGAACAGAGAGCTCATGTCCTGTGTATGTGATTCCTATGTTGAAATGGTTTTGGAAGTTCAAAAGCTGAGAAGGGATGCTTCAAGTTCTATAATTGATTCTAGTACTCGTCCAATCAATCAATCTCTGAAGGCTTCTGGAGATCAAATCTACTCCTTCTGGCCTCGTTCTTCTGAGAGGGAAGTTCCAAATGATCAATTTGATGGCCACAGTAACATCCCTTCAAGTTCAACTACAGTTCTTAAAGCTGACTGGAAATGCCTTAAAGAACGGGTAATACATCCATTTTATTCTCGAATTGTTGACCTTCCAGTATGGCAGCTGTACTCAGGAAATTTAGTCAAGGCTGAAGAAGGCATGTTTCTTTCACAGCCTGGGAATGGAATAGTTGGTAGTTTACTTCCAGCTACAGTTTGCAGCTTTGTAAAGGAGCATTATCCTGTATTTTCAGTTCCATGGGAATTGGTGACTGAAATTCAAGCTGTGGGTTTTTCAGTGCGTGAAATTAGACCTAAAATGGTTCGGGATCTCCTAAAAGTTTCTTCAAAATCAATCAATCTTCGATCAGTTGACATGTATATAGATGTTATTGAGTACTGCTTATCAGATTTTCGGCAAACAGGGCCGTCCAGTTTGCCCAGAGATACCGTGGCAGTTGATCTAGCTAGTACTAATGTTTTGTTTCCAGAAACTGCTGTCAGAAGCACTTCTCAGCTGGAATCTAATACCCACAGCTCCACTGGCATACCCACTCAGGGTGCAGCCAGTTCTGCAGATGCATTGGAAATGGTGACAAGTTTAGGAAAGGCTTTATTCGATTTTGGACGGGGTGTTGTTGATGATATTGGTAGAGCAGGAGCACCATCGGCTTACAGGAATTATGTGACAGGGGTAAGTCAAACTAGGGACATCCAGTTAATTTCGTTTGCGGCGGAACTCAAAGGTTTACCATGTCCAACTGCCACCGGCCATTTAAAGAAATTGGGTGTAACTGAACTTTGGATTGGGAATAAGGAACAGCAGTCATTAATGGTTCCCTTGGGAGAAAAATTTGTTCATCCTAAAATGTTAGACCGACAGCTCTTGCGTGACATTTTTTCTAACATATCCCTTCAAGCACTATTGAAACTGCAGAACTTCTCTCTTAATCTGCTGGCCCATCACATGAAGCTAATTTTCCACGAAGATTGGGTGAACCATGTAATGGGAACAAATTCGACTCCATGGCTTTCATGGGAGAAACAGCCTGGTTCTGGCAGTCAGGGGGGTCCTTCCTCTGATTGGGTTAGAATATTCTGGAAAAGTTTTAAGGGCTCTCAAGATGAATTATCTCTTTTCTCTGATTGGCCCCTAATTCCTGCTTTTCTTGGTAGGCCAGTCTTATGTCGTGTTAGAGAACGACATTTGGTCTTCATTCCTCCTCCTTTGGAGCATACAACATCCACTACTAGGATTATAGAAAGAGAATCAACTGATGTGAGTGGGGTTGGTGTATCTAGGGATAATAACTCCGAATCTGAGTTAGCTGAGTCCTACGTTTCAGCTTTTGAAAAACTCCAAACTAATTACCCTTGGTTATTGCCAATGTTAAACCAGTGTAACATACCCATATTTGATGAGGCATTTATAGATTGCGCTGCTTCGAGCAATTGTTTTCCTATTCCTGGGAGATCACTAGGACTAGCTATTGCATCCAAACTTGTAGCAGTAAAGCAAGCTGGATATTTCACTGAACCCACTAACTTCTCATCTTCAAACTGTGATGCACTTTTTTCACTTTTTTCGGATGAATTCTTTTCGAATGGCTTCCGTTATGCACAGGAAGAAATTGAAGTTTTGCGTTCTCTCCCTATATATAAAACAGTTGTTGGTTCTCATACTAAGTTACAAGGTCAAGATCAGTGTATGATCCCTTCAAATTCATTTTTTAAACCATATGACGAGCATTGTCTTTCTTATGCGACTGATTCAATTGAAAGTTCATTTGTTCGAGCCCTTGGGGTACTAGAGTTGCATGATCAACAGATCTTAGTACGGTTTGGCTTGCCCCACTTTGAAAGGAAGCCTCAGAATATGCAAGAGGAAATATTAGTGTACGTTTTTAAAAATTGGCACGATCTTCAATCAGATCAATCTGTTGTTGAAGCTTTGAAAGAGACTAAATTTGTTAGAAACTCTGATGAGTTTTCAACAGAGCTGTTGAAGCCCATGGAACTATTTGATCCCGGTGATGCTTTATTGATATCTATTTTCTTTGGTGAAAGAAAAAAATTTCCTGGGGAAAGGTTTAGCACTGAAGGTTGGATTCGAATATTAAGGAAACTTGGCCTTCGAACTGCTAGTGACGTAGATGTAATTATGGAATGTGCCAAAAGAGTTGAGTTTCTTGGAGTTGAGTGCATGAAATCAGGTGACTTGGATGATTTTGGGGCAGAAACGGCCAACTCTCGTCCTGAAGTTTCCCCAGAAGTATGGGCATTGGGAGGATCTGTAGTTGAATTTGTTTTCTCTAACTTTGCTCTCTTTTTTAGCAACAACTTCTGTGACCTTCTTGGCAAGATCGCATGTGTACCTGCTGAACTGGGGTTTCCAAGTGTTGGTTGCAAGAGGGTGCTTGCTTCATATAGTGAAGCTATTTTATCTAAAGATTGGCCTCTGGCTTGGAGTTGTGCTCCCATTCTATGTAGACAATATACTATGCCTCCAGAGTACTCTTGGGGAGCTCTCCATCTGCGCAGCCCTCCAGCTTTTTCCACAGTTTTGAAGCACTTGCAAGTAAAATTAATACTTTTGGTTTACTTACTCTATCTGTATGCACCATCTAAAAAAAAAAAACTCTATCTGTATGACTTAACTATATGAATTTCATTCTAACATTGTTTTATCCTAGGTGATTGGAAAAAATGGAGGTGAAGACACTCTTGCTCATTGGCCTATTGTTTCAGGATTGGACATTGAAAAGTGTACCTGTGAGATTCTAAAATATTTGGACAAAATCTGGGGTTCCCTTTCTCCTTCAGGTGCTTCACTACTCTCACCTTATTGCATTTGGGCCAGTAGTGACCTGACATGTACAGAAGCTTAGTGATGGTATAAAATAAGTTCATTGATTTTCTATTTACTTTTGCTTTGACAGATGTTGCAGAGCTAAGGGGGGTGGCCTTTCTGCCTGCTGCAAATGGAACACGCTTAGTGACCGCCGATGCTCTTTTTGCTCGTTTGATGATTAATTTGTCTCCATTTGCTTTTGAACTTCCGGCTGTATATCTCCCATTTGCAAAGATACTTAAAGATTTAGGACTCCAAGATGTGCTAACACTGTCTGCTGCAAAAGATCTTCTCTTAAATCTTCAGAAAGCTTGTGGGTATCAGCATTTAAATCCCAATGAGCTCCGCGCTGTGATGGAAATTTTGAATTTTATTTGCGATCAAATTGATGAGGGTAACCCATTTGATGGTTATGATTGGAAATCAGAAGTCATAGTTCCTGACGATGGCTGCAGGCTTGTTCATTCCACATCCTGTGTCTATGTTGATTCTGATGGCTCTCGCTATGTCAAATGTATTAATACTTCTAGAATTAGATTTGTCCATGCAGATCTTCCTGAGAGAGTATGTATTGTCCTGGGTATTAAAAAATTGTCAGATGTCGTCATCGAGGTAATAAGATTTCAGATGCATTTTCCTATGTAATGTAATGTTATTTTTAAATTGATGAGGCTTTTACTTACTGAAAGGTTTCTATGTGATTTTAGGAACTAGATGAGAATCAGATACTTCAGACTTTGGGATCTGTGGGGTCTGTTTCACTAGTGACCATCAAACAGAAGTTATCAAGCAAATCTCTTCAAAGTGCTGTATGGACTGTTGTTAATAGTATGGGGAGTTACATTCCCGCATTGAATAGGTTTTCATCGGAAGAAATAGAAAGCTTATTGACGTCTATTGCAGAAAAGCTGCAATTTGTTAAATACCTCAAAACAAGGTTTTTGCTCTTGCCGAATTTAGTAGATGTTACATGTGCATCCAAAGATTTCATTATCCCAGAGTGGAATAATGAATCTGCTCATCAAACTCTCTATTATATGAACCAAACAAGATCCTGTATTCTAATTGCTGAACCACCATCATATATTTCCCTTTTCGATCTCATTTCTATAATTGTCAGCCAGGTATTGGGCTCTCCTATCATATTGCCTATTGGATCCTTATTTGATTGTCCAGAAGGATTTGAGAATGCAGTTGTTAATATTTTAAAACTTTGCTCGGACAAGAAAGAAGTTGAATCCATGAATGGAAGTAGCAATATGGTTGGCAAAGATGTATTGCCACAAGATGCTCGTCTTGTGCAGTTCCATCCATTGAGGCCGTTTTATTCTGGGGAAATAGTTGCATGGCGATCTCAACATGGAGAAAAACTGAAATATGGCAGGGTTTCTGAGGATGTCAGACCACCAGCAGGTCAAGCAGCTCTGTATAGATTTAAGATTGAAGTTGCACCAGGGGTTACAGAAGCTTTCCTTTCATCTCAAGTATTTTCATTTAAAAGTGTATCAGCAAGCAGTCCCCTGAAAGAAACATCGGTGCATGATAGCCCCGTATTAGAAAGTAACAGGTCCCGCGTCGATTTCCCAGAAAGTTCAGGAAGGGGGGAACTCAACTCTCAGGTTCAGTGTGTTGACTTTTTTTTCTTTCTTTCTAATTGAAAGTATTTATTTGACGTGTTATATGCTTCAAACTTTTCCCACCTTTTCTGATTAGGAAAGAGGATTTTTCTTACATTAAATCTTCAGTCATTACAGGCATTGTAATTTATGACCCATCACATGCTTTCCAATTACATAGACCTGAATAATATTTATCTTCTCATATGAGAGTGGTGATACTATTTTAGTTGTTTTGGTTCTGAGGTGAGGAAACATTAATTAATTTCAGCAATTGTGAGAGAGAGAAGTCTCTAAATGAAATACCTTTTCAACTGCTAACTATATTGTTTAAGACTATCGCTTCCTTTTAACTGTTTGTTACTCATAATCTTTCATGTTAAGAAATGTGGTTGGGCCTAACTCAACCCTACAAAACTGGTTGGTAGGGTGAGGATTGTCCCCACTTATAAAGACATGTTCAGGCTATATATTGTCCGATGCGAGACTCTTAACACATGTAAAACATATTATTCATGCTGTGGCATTTTTTATATTGCTTGCAGGTCTTGCTTGATGGGCTTAAACTGAATGAGAGTTTTGTGTTTGCAGGTGCCATCTTTGAGAGAGCAGTCTGGCAAAGTTTCTGCTGCGGAACTGGTACATGCTGTAAATGAAATTCTCTCTGCTGCTGGGATCAATATGGATGCTGAGAAGCAGGCTCTACTTCAAAAAACAGTAGATTTGCAAGAAAATCTGAAAGAATCACAGGCAGCACTACTGTTGGAGCAGGTTGGTGATTTTTAATTTAGGACTATGTGTATGCTTGATTTCATTTTTAGAGGAGTCAAAGTTGATTCTAGAGGTGGAAAATTGAATTGACATGTTCGAATATTCTCTATGCCTCCGGAATTCATTGTAATTGAAGCTTTTGCTTCTATAAACCATTCTCAAAGCCTTAAATAATTAAGAATGGTTTTATATTAGTTTAAAAAGGTAAGGAAAATACTGTTTCGTACGAAGAGGATAGAAAACGAAAAACAACAAAGGTGATATGTTCAACCACTATAATACCAACACCCCCATGATTCCGCATAAATAGCACTTGAATTGTTGACCCATCAATATTATAATGACAGATATACTTTCTTAGGTTTCGTTAAATCCAGTATTCGGACTATTTAGCAATACTGAAAAAGTAATATGATTGAACAACAAACTGATTTGCTAGATTCTTTGATATGCATTTATATGGTAGAGTGAAATTGTGTTTGTTTGAAATGACTTACCACGTTATAATGTACTGTACAGGAAAAGGTTGAACGATCAATAAAAGAGGCTGATACAGCAAAAGCGGCATGGACCTGTCGGGTTTGTCTGAGTTATGAGGTTGATATAACATTAGTTCCTTGTGGTCATGTGTTGTGCCGGAAATGTTCTTCTGCAGTATCAAAGTGTCCCTTTTGTCGGCTTCAAGTTACAAAAGCTATCAGAATTTTTCGTCCATAGCATATTTACTGATTTGATAAACCTTTTGACAATGTATATAAGTTCCATTTGGCAATGGTGGCTAACTTCTTCTGGCTTGAAAGTATTTTTGCAAGAGTTTGATCAGATAGAAATTTGCCAGCCGCGTGTAGATTCTTGTTCTTGTGTAAGTCATGTGATTGAAGCCCAAATATATGGATGCTTTTATTGTTTTTTTTTTCTCTTTCTCTCTCCCTCCTTCTCTGGCATAGACAGAAAATCTTGTGTGAAGAGTCTTATTATTGCATATGATGAAACAGTAAGGTCAACGGGAGTGATTAAACGAAAATGCAGTTCATCGTAGACCTCAGGTCAGTTTTGGCTTCTAAAAAATATTAGATAATTGATTAAAAAAATTGATGTTATTTCAAAACGTTAGAATATCAACGCATCAAATTTTGATTAAACGTTAGAATATTTCAAAGATGCATCTCCGTAACAATTTAACATTTATCAGTATATTGTACCGGAGATGCATCTCTGTAAAAGTGTATTGTATCGGAGATGCATCTCTGTTTATTTTACATAGATGTATCTGCGTAACCTATTAGAATAAAACTTCTCATGTTATATTTTATTTATGTGTATTAAGACGCAAATTCAAACTATACAATCAAATTCTATTTCAGCCAAATGCTACCAAGTGTCAAATTCATATTTGATACTTTTTCAACTTGCACTTACAAAAGATTAAAATAGTAGAAACTTAATCTTCTAATTAACTTACCTTACTTCAACCAAATGCTACCAAGTGCCAAGTTCCTATTTGATATTTTCTCAACTTTCACTTTTTCCTCTTTCACTCATCATCTCATTCTTCTTTCTCTTTTCATTTTATTATTTTATCTTTTCTACCTATTTATTTATGAAATTAGATAATACTTAATAGTCATACACAAACACTACAGGCTTAGTCGTGGAAAAAGAATGGTGGTTCCAACAAGTTCAAAGGCAAAATCGACAAGACTCAGGGGAAGATGTCTTAGTCGAATTCTCACAAGAATAAGATTGATGATAGTACTTCTGAATCCTCGAAAAGAGGAGAAGGAAATTTTTATAAAAAAGACGAAGTAGAGAAAAAAAAGTTTGGAGTGCTATAATTGTGAAAAGTGGGGTCACTTGGCCAAGCATTGTTGGTACAAGAAATAAAAGGGGTCGATAAAAGGTAAGGACGAAGGAGCGAACCTTGTACGTCAAGATTCAGATGATTTTGATGATATGGTGGTTATGGCTGCAGTTGCAGATGACCATGTCAAATCTAAGATCTGGTTCCTCGACACAGGCTGCTCGAATCACATGACTGGTAGAAAAGTATGGTTAGTAGATTTCGACGATTCGAAAAAGAGCAAGGTCAAACTTGCTGGTAATAGCTCGTTGCAAGCAGAAGGTATTGGCAACATAGTTATTCAAAGGAGTAATAGAGCAAAAACCTTGATCAAAGATGTACTATATGTCCCCGAAATGAAGTGCGATATGCTAAGTGTAAGACAACTGGTCGAAAAGGGTTTCAGTGGTTATGAAAGATGGATCCTTAGAACTTTTTGACATATAAAATAACATGGTCTTGAAATCTCTTCTATCGAAGAATAGAACATTTAAGACCATGATTAGTTCGACTGAATTTCCAGCTGTACATATCATAGCATTTTCATCATTTGAGTATCATATCTTTTATTCATGTCGTCTACCATTGTGCATTTAGAATTTGTATCTTTTGTTCTGTGTTGTCTAAGCCCAGGGCTGACCGGATTGACTCGGGGATTAGGCCAGGTTATCAAGTCAAGTTACCAGGTTGTGGCAGAGATTCTGAATCAGGGTTGTGGCCCTCAGCAAGTCATTGTTGCATCAGTGTGCTCTCTAGGCGAAGATTAGGTTTTCGCAGCCTTTGTGTTTAAGATGAGCAAGTATCATTCATTTGAGGTCAACGGGTTCATTGTTTCAAGCCACGTGGGTGTGCGGTGTAATTCGAAATTTTAGTGGAATTTGACCTCTCCTTGGTCAAACAAGTGGTTTAGTATCAAGTTATCAGGTGTTGGCAAAGGCATTTGCTTCAAGGTGGACAACCATCGGGGCTAATTCATTCTCAATTCTAGTTTTGGTGTAGTGATAATACACTTCAGGTCACTTGTATTGTGGATCATTGTGAGAGAAAGAGAGTGGCAAATTCAAATGGTTTATGTCTGATTAGAATTAGGGTTTTGGTGCCGGCTCATGCTAGCTGAGGAAGTGATGTTGTAGAGCTATCAAAAGTCGAGGAATTTGGTCGTTACGTCAAGTCATTTGCAGTTCATGTTTTTGTCGAGACTGTTTCAAGATGGAATCAGGATGCGAGTTTCGACGTGTTTGTGGCTCTAGATTTAGTTATGCTTGGTTCTATTTTCCAAAGGATTGATTCAAGAATTTAAGATATTTCATGTGGAAAGTGCAAGAATTCCCAGTGATCAACTTTCAAGCATTGTTCAAGAATAAAATGGAAGATTCAAACTTCAAAATCCAAGTTCAAGTGTCATTTTCAATTTTTAATCCGATCCTATGTCAAAATAAATTCAAGTCAGACATTTCAAAATCCAAATTCATTTCATGTCTAAATTCAGATACACTTCATAATTTATTTCAAGTTTCATAACCATTTTCATTAAAAAAAAACTCCAATTTTGAGTTTCCACTTCGTATCGAGTTCAACTCTCTTTCCATTTGAAAATTTCAAATTCAAAATTCAATAAATTCAAATTCAAGTTCATTTTAAAGTCTCCAAGTTCATGTACCTAATTTCCTTCCAATTTCAATGAGCTTCGAGATTAAGTTCGATTAAAACTCAAATTCATGTCCGATTTTCAAGATTTAACTCAAATTCAGTTCAAGTTTAAATTCAATTTTAAATTCAATCTCAAGATACCATTCATTCCAAGTTCAATATAAATTTATTTTCAATCAAATTCTATGTCAATTTCAAAGTTCAAGTCCTATGCCAATTTCAAGTTACCACTTCAAAATTCATTTTCAAGTCCATGACCATATTTAAATTAAAAGATCTACTTACAAAATTCAAATTCTATATCATCTTTACCCATGTCCAAGTTCCAAATTCATACAAGTTTCAAACTCATGTCAAGTGTCTAGTTCATTTCCAATTCAAATTCATTTCTATGACAAATTGCAAATTTCATTAAGTTTTCAATGTCTACAAATTTACAAAGTATAAGTCACAATTCCAAGGCCCTTTTAATAATAATCCAATATATTACATTGCAAGAAAAGTTCCAAAATAACATTTTCTCCAAGCTTCATGACTACATCTAGTCAGGCCACAACTTCCATGACATTGAGCTGCAAGGTTCATGAGTTTGAATTCATGAAAGTTTCATCCAGAATGCAAACTTTCACCAAGACCTTCCCTTTTGTCACTAAGCCTGCCAACGTGTTACAACAAGCCATCCAACATAAGTCATGCACAAACTTGCAAAAGTAAAATCTCATAGGGACCCACCACTACCTCAAATCTGCCCAACAAACAGCAAAATCCCTTTGCGCCACTGCTACTGCTTTTTCTGTATCACGTAGTCCTCACAGTCGAGCCACTACTCCACTCCGTACCTCCCTCAATAACCTACACTCACCATAAGACCTGTGCTAAAGTGTACCAGCAATAAGTCTGCAGAATAAAAAAAACGGTACAACAAAACCAAACAGCCTGTCAAAGCACATTAGGCACCAAAATTTCCTTTGCTCTGTTATTATCACAAGCCACCTTCACGCCAAAACCTGTCAACAACAATACCAACCATTAACGGCGCCATGCTCCAGCCATTTGTACCCGCGAAACCGTGTCCCCACCGTACAGGTGCAATAAACCGCAAACTACGAAACCAACCATCAGCTGCAAAATACAAACCCTTTGCCGTGAAAAGAAAACTTCACGCTGCCAACCGCATCTCCCAAGCTCAAGCTGAGACTCCAAGAAATCTGTCTTCCGAGAATCACACACCCAAGACCATTCCTATGAATAAGGCAACAAATTTTAAATTCATTCAAACAGAAAAAAATCCATGCCATATTTCTCAAAGTCACAACAAAGCCAATTAAATTTTGAACCCAGAATAATTGCTCATTCAATCCAAGCCATTGTTCACATAAATTCAGACACCCAAGATTCATACTTTGCCCTACACATACAAATCAAGCAATTTTAAAGATATTTTGAGGCATATAATCAAATTCAATTCATGTTATTATTTTATTATGTACCTAGAGTTCAATTCATACCATCAATATTCCTAAGCAAATTCCACACATGATCAATTCCAAATAAGCTGCAAGAGCACACCAAAAACCAGCATGATACAAATTAGGCATTTCAAATTCAAAATTCCCACACAGGTCATAGCCTCCAGGATCAGAATAACAAATCCAAAGGGGGTGGGGGACCGCACGTTCATACTAACAAAATTGGAAGAAATAGGGCAGCAGCAAGTTCACAGTACAACAGAGTTAACACATGTCATACCCTAAATTTGTCCGCCCTTTTTTTTGATCGAAAGCATTGGTACAAGTCATCAGGAGCATGAGAAAAAGAAAGGAAAAGCCTGTTGAGTATCTCAAAAGTCATAGTGGGATTGGAATGATCATCCAGCTCATCTGCACAGTATCCAAGCAAAAAGGGGAAATTAGGGTTTTTGCACAGTTAAAAGTCGAGGTTTCAACAGTTTGATAAGTTGACGTCTTGAATTGATTTCCAATGAAATAGGGTCAAGCATGCTACATTGCTTCAAATATGAATTCAATTTGAGGTTGGCACCCAAATATTGAAGACAATGCAGCTCAGGCCCGATTAGGGTTTTCGAATAGAAAAAGTCAACCGTAGTTTGACTTTTGATATGAAAGGTGTTCTAATTATGCAATATTGATTCATAAGGTTTATATGGCTTAGTAAAGTCCATTCAAGAAGATTCAAGGCCTCAAGATACCCGGATCGTCAACAGTCA